CTTGGATCGCTCGTCTTCACGAAGAACTGGGACAGTCTCACCATACTTTCCTCTTAATTTCAGGGTAGATTTTTTATAGGACTCCTTGGAAATCCGGGTCAGGGTCATTACTGGCAACCGCTAAAACTCTTGAATCGAAACGACGTTTGCTCTTTGTATACTAACTGAATTTCTTCTAACACCGTAATGATTTCTAGCAGAAGTTTACTCTTATCTGACAATCAAGGCTTAAATGATGAAATCCATGTGTAATAATTGGATTTCGAAGAAAGGCTGCAACTAGGCGGTGAAGCATTCGTGCTTTCAGCATTCTACTTTTTTAAGTTTTCACTCTGTTTTCTAGCCCTATACGAAAGTCTAGAAGCTACAGTATATTTAGGCCATCATGGGATTCAAAAGTATTGTATAACACTTTTGTTTTCAAGATCTAGAAATACAGTATGGACATTTAACCAGCATGTTTTTGATTTTTTTTTTGTTAACGGGGTGTATAGGGCGGTCAATAAACGTGTCAGGAAATACAAGCGATGTCGTTGGTTCGTTAACGTGCTCCGGGCTCACCAAGTCTTCCACCTCTCCGCGAAGAGCTAAATTCGTCGCATACTGGCCCAGAAGGATTGAAACACTGACTTGATCCCTCAATGGTTCGGCAACACTGCTGTATTACTTTTTTAAATAAAAAACGAATATTTATACAGAAGATGTTCTGTGACTGCAAAAGACAATGATGTCAGCACAATGAAAGTTGGCCGAGTATCTCAACTGTCTCATTGTATGTGCTGAATCTAACATTATACCGTCTACTAGTATTGTTTTGGTGGCCATCTAGCGATGGTCTAACGATGGTGCTTCCTACTCTGAACGATTTCACATCTTCTCATTCCATCACTTGTTCCTGGTGAACAGGCGCGTACGTCGCAGTTGACAAATGAACGTCTCTTTGATGTGTGAGTGCTACCGCTATGTAATTGCTGGCTCTCATTTGTCCATCATCGCTAACATTGACGTACGCACACAATGTAATGTAGATAGATTGAATAGCTTTACTCTGTTATCTACCACAAAAAGCTGAAAAAAGTTGATGTGGGCCGAACTCATGACGGTGACGATCCAACGAAGCTTTGTTCTAATCGAAACAGAGAAATTTCCATCTGTGTAAACGTTGTTAGCAAAATGCGTTCACGCTCAACCCTGTTCTTCATTCCCATTTTTTCCTCGGTAAATCTTTCATAAAATCTTTTATCGGTCCGTAAACTTAGATTCTTAATGAAAAATTTATCATCACAGTGGCGTTCCATTAACTGAAATTGTCTCAGATTCGTCCCTTAAAAGTTAACATACTTTCGTAGTGTATTCTTTTACCATATTTCTTACCACACTTTCTCTTTTCTTAGGAGGATTCCAGAGTGAAGAGCAGAGTAGATATTTCGTGATAGGAAATTACTCGCCATTTCAATACACCATTTAGAAAAAGGCACATTCTATTATTTTGTTATTGAATTCTTATTTTTTAAAACGGCGTTGCGCTACACCTGCGATTACAAGAGGGCATTCCAAAAAGATTTCTTCCACTTTCTAAATTTTTCCTCCGTTCGAGATATTATCTAACAAAAAATATTACCAAGGTCAAAAACCGCTCCATAGATGAGACAGCAAGATAGGTAGAGTATGGACTTCCGTTTGAAATTTGCCAGACATCGGGGCGTCGGTGTCGTTTCGCCATCACCGACAAATGGAGATGAATGAGAATTGTCGGCATATACCGCCCAAGAACACACAAACATCACATCCTTCCCACAACCACAGCCACACCAACTGTTGACGCCCATTAAACGACAAAAAAGAAGAAAAGCATTGGTACCTATTTCACGCATACACATAATCATCGCAGGATAATGTGCTAACATCGTTAGACTACGGTAGCGAACAGAAGACGTTTTCAAAAGACAAAACGGCACTTGACGACGATTGAATGGCTAACGAATGATGGTCTTTTACATCGCCGAGGACGTCGTTTTGTCACTCCGAAAACATGATGCCACTAAAAAATTCGTATCAACCACTTCCTTCCGTTTTTTGCTTCATAGCATTCGTCAAAGCATAAAAGCGAAGCGAAGCGGCGATTCCCGATGAACGATCATACGATCAAAGCATACTCGTCCACCGTTCCCACATTGTTCGCATATCCGTGTTTTGATTGTCGCCGTAGTAAACATATGCGGATGAGATCAAAAGACTCCAGATGTTCGACAGTTATCTGAGAATATAAGTTTTTATACGGTGATCTGAACTTAGTATGAGAACTGAACTATACTTGAAACAATACCTACCAGTGAAAAAATTGAGCAGGACAACTTTATGAGAACATTCATTAGATGATTCTCTCCACTAGACGAGGCACTCATCTAAATATCATTTTGCAGCGTATATGAATAGGTTACCCTAATATAATGACCAGATAGCTTAGGCTGTGATAACTGATGCTTAACATCAAAATTTTATAGAAGCTTATATGAACTGAATAATGTAAACTCTGAAAAAGTAGGTTTTTGTAACACTTGAGCTCCTTTTCACGGCTCTTAGCACTAGTTTTGAACATTACGCGGTTTCCATCCTGACAGTAGTAGATAAGTGAGAATCTGTCTTCCTTTCTACTGTCAAGTATAGGAAAAACTTTCGCTGCTACTGTAGCGCGACATATACATTTTTATTATTTCCAAGCACACAGGTGCTTTTTCCAAAATACCTGTTTAGAACAAACTCTGAAAGTGCTGCATTATATTTACCCTAAACAAATACTCATACCAATGATATTGTTCTTCGTGGAAAAATAATAGTATTGTAAAGTAAATATTAAGCAAGACAATATTCTAAATACAGCATTATATTAGATGTTTAATTGTTGTCCTTAACTTTTTGAAGAGACTAACGATCTTTCATCGAAATTTTCCCTTTGATTATTGCGAAAGGGAACGGACTACATGATCTTACTAGTTACTATAAAATTTTCTGCAAATTAATTGTCTTTTAATGAGGCTTCTCCTCTAATCCATGTATCGTATTCAGCTTTTCTATAAATGGGGATTGATTGAAAATGAATGCTTTCAGCCGTAATGGTGGTAACCACACTCAACGCGGAGGACATAAAGCCCACCACTGATTACATCCACTGAAACAGTAAAATTATGGCCGTTGAGAGATTGAATTCCAGAATTTCAAGCTGGACGGGTTGAAACAATTACTTCCGTTAAGCAGTATGGAATCTCTCATAAACAACCAACGAAATTGATGCTAAGCTCAATCTTTACAAACTCTTTACTTACACAACCGTGAAGTATCGTCGAGTTAAAAAGGCGGACTAACCAGATGTTTTCCACTTCATAATCAAATTTCTGTGACTACTGAGAATCTGAACTACTTCCCAATATCGCAACAACTTAAACTTGTTGAGTGTTCCTGGATTTGGTTTATGGTAAAACCACTTACCATCTCGTTATTTTCATAATATAGTTTGGATATAACTTTATTATTGAGTTACGAAACTAATATACTGTTTTCGCTAATGGATGAATGACTATCCTACTTATTGACAAAGCAAAATCAAAACGCTACTCGGAATGAAGGATTTGTCCTTTCCCGTTCAGACACAATTCCAAAAACACAAAAAAAATCCGAGCTTATGCCGATCACTTTGTGGAATTTTCGTTTACAGACCTCCGCACATAAGACATAGCTGAAACCCTACCTTTCCATGTCGCAGACAAGACGTGAAACATTTAAAAACCGATTTTACCTTCGAAAAATCTACTTTCCGAAGCAAAAATTTTAGCAACACCATCTCTGTTACTAAATTTCTCTTTGCCAGCTTTTATTTTTTGACCAATGTAATTAAATGTAAACGAAGAAATACTGGAAAGCCATGTGCATTTCATTAACATCGCGGCCCGCTGTCTCGTCGTGGTGTTGTCTAAAATCCTAGCCACGTACTTCCTAGTTCAATCGCAACATTTCAGCTATAAAATCACAATCATTTCGTCCATTTAATGTGTTTTCTATGTCTTGCACTGCTTCCAATCACTATAAAATACACCGCAAGGATTTGCTGTGGATGAGGACGACTATGACGACGACGATGATGACGATGATGATTGATGATTATGACAATAATAACTATGAGGGGTAAAGAATTGTGAAAAATCTGGAAAATGACAAATTCGATTGGTTTATAAGGCTCGAAATACTTTTATAAGGCTCGTAATACTGTGTCGATATTTTCTAATAGCAGCAATAGATTGAAACATTAACGTCAACAATGAAGACATATTCAAATCGCTCAATTTTCACAGTAACTGACAGTCTTCTGGCGTCGTAATTTTGCCCTAAGAAAATACCTTAAGAACGTTAGGCACATTGTTATCATTCTCATCACCATTGTTATTACAAACAGAGTTATTGAAATAATCAGTGATAGTGTTACCATAAGCACTGTTGTTTATATTCTTACTTTCGAAATGTACAACTGTTCATTTCACTAAATGCCCGCTCAGAATCCCTACAATAAATGACCAATGAAAGAAACTGGAACAACATATCGCTATGGAGTAGCACCATTCGCTTTTATACCTAAATGATACTATGAGCAAATGAAGAGAAGGGACGTAAATAAATCACATCTATGTTCTTCATGGAAAAATGAGGAGTTGAATGCTTGAATATACACGACTATAACGTCAAGACAGCGAAAACAGAAATATGTATAAATGAGATATTGAGCAAGTACAGAAGCTGTTGAGCTGTTTATATATAAACCCCGAGATTCCGTAAATGAGCTTTAATTATAAAAGTATATCTTCCATTAACAGTAATTATAATTGCGAGGCTATTATGATTTCAAAAAAAAAGGAAAAGAAAAGCGAAAGCAGGAAAACATGTCTGAATGACAAGAACCATGCTACTGTCACCGATGGTGTAGGAGCACCGTTTATCAACGCTCTAGATCTCTAGATGAGAAACGGTAGTCGTTGTGATGACATAATCATCGGAGAAGTGGTATTGATCGTGTAGAAATGAAATGGTATCGAAGCGGTGGCGATATGAGGAATAGCAGTCATTGACAGTAATGGCGTAGTGAATGGTATCTGAAACAGAAAAAAGCTCACTACTTCTGGAAAAAAAAATTCTTTGCACTAATGTTATACTACCAAGCTTTCAACGACACCTACTTCATTGCCTCGTTTTCTAAACTTAAAATCAGAAATATAGAGTCCAGTGTACTTATACACGACTATAACGTCAAGGCAGCGAAAACAGAAAGCGATGAAATTGTTATTCCTAGTTAATGACTGCCATAACACACCACAGTAGTTGGCGGTGGTAGAGATGGCAGCCTGGATGAGACCATCTCTTCCGAAATGACGCTGCCTGAAGTTTGACTGTCGGTCGGTGACGGTGATGAGTTTGCATCCATACCCAGATTGTGCTTTTTCCATTTTGTACGACGATTTTGAAACCAAATCTTTACCTGAAATCTATGACCTGTTTCCTAAAAAAAAACTACTTGACGTGATTCTGACGTAGCTCATCATTCCTATGCCTACGGTGCCTAAGCGCCACTAAACATTGATCAAAATCACGGTCTTTCACAAAGCCCTTTGTTTTCACTTCGTTAGCGTCCCATAATGAGCTCCCAAATATAATCCAGACATTTGCAGACATTTTTTGGCGCTGCATCAACGATACTAGTTACAGTAGTTTCACCAAATAGATGAGAAATGTCACCTGTGTTTCGGTAAGATGTAGTTGGATGGCAAGGTTTAATCGTTCACAAACGCTTAAGTATCGTGATGTCTGAAATGATTATGGAGGATATAATCCTATATGTTTTGGAAGAATCAGCAACTCTGTGATACGGCGACACCGTTAAGATCTAACTTGCTCACTGTGAAAACTACGATCACCTTAAATTTGTTCTCCAGTGCTACAAGCTGCTCGTAAGTGAACGCAGTACGAACACGACGGGCTTTTCTCGGACTGTTTACAGGTACGGTAGAGCGCTCTGAGACGAACAATCGTCAGAATTAACAACAGGTCCAAGTAAGTAATACTTTTATTTGGTACTGTTTTCAAATTACTTTTATTCCGTTCTTTTCAATGTATGGGAAGAACGTATTTGTACCAATGTATTTTGCATCATTATACCGGAGGCGCAATAGTTGTTTAAATATGAAGGGAGCAGATAGTTAGAAGTACCAAGTTCTCTGCTCCTACATTCAGCCACTTCAAAGCATAAAATATGCTGTAAAGCTAAAACTCCGTACGAAAATATATTGGTAACAAATGCGCTAAACAAGAAGGAACTCACTTTTCTCGTGTGAGGTGGTGTTCCTATTATCATCTGATAATAACTCATCAACACGGAAACCGCGCTTATCACTCATCCTCTAAGAAGGAAACGAGAATAATTGATGGAGAGAAAACAATACAAAACTACAGTTAATAGGTGCTTAAATTAAGGGATTCATTATGGTTTTCAACCAGTTCATTTCTGCAGTTCATATTCGATTATCTTGTGAAAAATGCTATCGATGAATGTGAAGAAAGGCCTGTGAAATAAATTTGTTGAAGAGGCTTTATAGAACAATTGATTATAACCAGCTATAAAGTTATTAAAAAATTGGGAGATGTATCTATCTGTCAAAGGATGAGCGATGTTTTAGGACAATAATAAGGAGACAATGAAATTCATTACAGCAGATTACCGCTTCCGCCACTTCCTTCCTACGTTTTACTGAAAGCGAATCTTAGTGCATTTTTTGAAATCGCCATAAAACCACAGTCTTAACCATTAGATGATCTCTGAAGTTCAAATCGTTCAGTTTGTTAGTAGAGTTCATGGGGAAGCCGCAACTCACGAACGATGGGCGGGTGACACTGAACACTCCGATTGGTCAATCCCCGAGCTAACATGACCGTCATCACAAACAATGCTGGCACCCGATGGATACCTCTACCACTTGTCCTCAAACAGCATTCAACTGTTTCCGTGAATCATATCAGTATTTTATAGATAATCCAGTAACCTTTCTAGCATACTATACACAATCCAGAGCAGAGATAACAGTTACTGTTTGTTTGACGATGCTTTTTTAAACATCTTTTGTATAATTTTGAATCTCTACAGAAATGTAGAATTCTTAGAAATCATTTATACAGTTTTTCAAACAATTCCGGTTATGAAAATATCTTGCTTGAAGATGTTGAACATTCGCGACAACTCCTTGTCTTCCTTTCGTCGTTCTTTCAATTTCTGAATGAAGTGAAAACTACTGATTTTTGAAATGCGAATATTACGAACTACTAGTTACTCACATCAACGGCAGATATGATGAAGCTCATCTTGTGTAGACGTGAAGCATAGTTTGGCATTCGTAGTTCGTATGTGTAGTAATTGTGAACGTCTTCGGCCAGACGACTTTTAACTTGCTCAGCTATATCGATTGTTTCTTTTGCAACGTTGGGAATGTCTAAAGATTTCAAACTTAGCAGAGTAGTTTTTTTCAGAACGCTAGAATAAGCTCGTAGGGTAAAAATTCTTATTTGATTTCGTCTCGTACGATATCCTTGCTAGGAGAACAATTGTTAGGCATTGCAAATAAGTTATGAAGAAGTTTCTAATGTCAAGATATAGAGTCAATTAAAAATCTACCATATCGTTAAACAGAATGGTTGCTATAAAAATAACACACCACCTCATTAAAAGCATGGAAGATTCCCGGAAAATTTCATTAAGAGCGCCAGATAAAAGACTGCCAAACGGCATAAATCCAGCGCTTTTTCGACTATGACCTGTCGGTTAACAATGAATACGGCACTTACAAAAAATCGCGCTCATCCGTCGTTTCCGGGAATTTTTGTGGTTCAACTGACATTTTTTTTTCATGACATCAGCAGTTATATCGGTTCCTTTTTCAAAAAATCATTACAAAGCCGTTAACTGAATTTATGAATCGGTTCAAGCAATGATGTTTATCATAACGTGGCAAAATATAACAGGAAGAATTAGTTAAAAACGGTTGGGAGAACTACGACAAAAAAACATTAGTAAATGAGACTGAACTGGAAAGAAGAGAAAATTATCTACCCCTTCCAGAAACTACATTTTGAAGGCTGAGAAAATCACATGTATAATCCTCAATTCTCATCTTTTAATGGAAAGTTATTTTATGACCAGTTGACATTGTGAAGCATTTCGTAGAACACAATAGTGTGTCTAGATAATCTTTATAGTGAGTATTTGGAACTATACCCAACATAATTGTAAATGCAAAGTTGAGCTCAATAACCATGGTAACAGAAAAATTTCTGCAATAAAATTCAAGAATAGCCAAATGGTACGAAAGATTTCCAAAAAAGTTTGAATAACACGGGAGTACTTTCTTTGGTAATAGTTCATAAGATCAACTTTCTATTAAACGCGGCACTGCATTACAAATATCTCGTTCTCTTTTTCAGCAATCGCAAGGTTGTTGTTCAGCACACGTTTGCTTCCTTACAGGGAAGAACACGTACAACACAACGTTAGCAGGCGTTTCTGCAGTATCGCCTTCTTCAGAGCCGCTTTTTTACGTGCCCTCCACTGGAAGGCGGTTCTTTGGTTATATTTTTTTTTGTTAACTTTTAAATGTTTCAGTGATGATTCAGTGATAACTTCTGTCACTATTTGGCTTTTTCACGTTCATCCGAGTAGTGCAATAATTAAAAATTGTACTCTGTACGTTAGAATCATTCACATTACATATACACTTGTAATCTTGTTAATCATTTAATGATTCAGAATTAAAACATGCTATTTAAGATCGACAGTCACCTGGTAAAAATATTCTCCTCTTACGATGTCAGATGAATGCACTACATGCCATCAAAACTTCATTTGCCCACGCCGAGCTTCATAGCAGCCTGGTGAGACGAGCTGGATGATGTGACATGAACACCACCGTAAGTTCCGTATGTGTTCATTTATTTTTGTGTACTTCGCAAAGCGACATTGTCACGTGGTTAACGTGGTACTGTAGTGAAATCTGGATATACCCAAACGCATGTTCTTATTCTCATAGATGTGGAGTTTATTTTTAGAACACGACCGTAAACGTCTTCCATATACTTCACATTTAATCACGGAATAATAGCTAAATTGGAGCGAAAGATGCAATCTATATAATCATGCTGGCATATTTACAGAACATGCATATGAAATAATTCTATACGGCTGATATGAAACAAGCTGGTGCACCCTAGACGGAAAGCCAATCGCCTGAATCTTGTGATGTTTCAGGTAAAGTGCATACTCTGTATCCTGGAGACCAGCCGTTTAGCCTCATCTTACCAATGAAACAGGTCAGTCCGTTAACCCTCGGGACAATATGGTATCAATTTTTCGAAAAAGAATGGCTGAAAAGGCTTATGTAGGACAGAAAAAGAGACCGGATCTGTGACGACGTGTGCACTCTAGAGCAGCTTTAACCAATGTACCACACGCGCCTTATCGATCCACATACCAATATTCAGTTAAATTGGGTGTGAGAACTAGTTACACCTTACTTACTCTGAAGACATCTCTCATTAAACCGTGAAAAAAATTGTGGAGTTACATTTAACACTGGCTTAACTCCATAGCAAATAAGTTAAATAAAGAGAAAAATAAGCAGACTTTTAAATAATACTAGGTTTGCGCAGAAATTGTGCAACTCTTGTCAAGGCGCTGGTTTGTCCCAGCATGTATAAATGCTCTATGTTTCATGTAATATGGTATTATCAATTACACATGAACTTTACGCGCTATTGAAAACCCCGTTCTACTTTTTATTACAGTTCAGCGTACTCCTCATTTTGTCTTAATGGTAATGACGTTTCACGAAGAAATCCATTTTCCCAGCACCAACGCAATTACTGCGGAGATATGCTTCCAGAAGAAGGCAACTCTCTGAAGCATTTGCTCAAAAACGTTTACATTAGAAACAATCGTCGATGCAGATTGATTCTTCTGCGCGATAACATCTACCTGCAGATCAAAAATGTTACAAGAATGGTTCTCCATCAAATCCAATGAAAGAACCCAATTTGTTGCCTAGTTCGTAAGGCACTTCTTTCGTTGCCGTTTCTTTCTATACGCTAAACGTTGCTCATTCGGTTTTTTTTGGCGTTCGCTTTGAAATGCTCTTTGTGATGTCGTGTTGAATAAATTTACCAGAAATTAGTCTAACCTATGAAAGATATTACCGAAAATAGTGAACAGTACATAAATGACCTGCCATATACGGTAAACAGAGGGATTTTTGGTCTTTTGAGAGAATAACGTAACATAAAACCAATCTAGTCACCATAATGTGAATGTAATTATTCTAGTGCATTGAACAGATCTATAAATGTGTTACTAATATATTTTAATAACTTACTTCTCACGTTCCACATACAGCTGATTACCATGTACAGTAATTCGAATTCATTTGGCCTCAGCCGTTTAAACGGATATGTCACAAGCTCGCGGTACAAGTCATTCGACGGCTTCATCACTCTAAACAGCTTTATGCTTATCAAATGCTCTTAGAGTGAAAACGATTCCTATAGCGAATGACGCTTTTTTCAAATATTTACTTTCGGACTTGCTCCTCATTGAGATCGGATATCATATCCAACCTGGTTACATGTCCTTTAAGATTGACAACCGTGCCATCGAAACACACCGTTCTTTCATCGTTGATATCGTAGCCAAGTAATTTACATGTATGGAAATTCCGATCCAATTGAAAAAAACCAGGCCAGAAATTTCGAAATAGCAACCACTGCAAGAACAGCTATTTAGCAAAAGATTCTTTGCAAGCGACTGATACCGTCGAAAAAAAAATTTGCACACTTTTTGATCCTTTGGGAGTTGGCTAAATGATTGCAGAGACATGGCGAACTGGGCGAAATACTCAATCTCAACGTAAGTATCACGCAAAATATGCTCTACGTCGATTATGTTCACCTCGCTGGTCTAAAATAAACATACGTAAACTTTAAATAGCTATTCTTTAACTATCACTGATAACCAAGACAGACCACAAACTTATTCACTACCTCATTGTGGTTAGCAAGTGATACTGGACGGGAAGCTTCGACGAACACGGAATGCTAACCTTACAAGGTCTCTCAAACTGAGCAGCTTTTTACACATGGAATATCTGCTAAGACCAAACTGATGTCAGCTATCGTGGAGGAGGACTAGCTGAGGTAAATAAACCCCCGTTGATCCACATTGGCCAGTGTCTAGTCGGAGTGACGGCGTAAGAACGCCCTAATATTGAGCTCTCCAGATCTCCATTAAAAATTGCTCAGTAGTTAAAATATCACTTGAGTGGAAACTGTGATGGGCCACGCACCATTGTTTTTGAGGTGAACAACAGAATTATCAAATCCAAGCATGGAATAGAAGATAGAAAACAAAAATTGTTACCTTGCCCTGAAAGCTGTCAGGCCAATGCTGTGAGTGGTTTGCATAGGCGATCATGGCCTGCTGGCTTACTGAGAGAGGAACAATGGTGTATGGGAAAACATTTACATTGTACTCCTGGAAAGAAGAACTTCAGATGTTATGACGCTTAAAGTAAAATAACGGTAAAAATGATATTGTTTGAAATGCACAACAACTGTGCATATTTTTCAAAAAACCTTAAAGCGTGGGCGGTTGTGCAAAAAGACTAGGGAGTATGAGGGATAAGCGCAAACTTGGACGGTTCATGAGAACTAAGCGCGAAGAAATTGAGTGTCCTGCCTATCACAGACGAGTCTACTGTCTGGGTTCACTCCAATCAGTAGTTACCATATGCTTCCCAGTGGACAGTCACAAAGCAGCGCGCTACATTTAACTAACTGAAGCAGAGAAAAGTCGATAAAAAGAAAGCTAAATCCAGGCAATTCTTCGTTAATGGGGATATAGTGTAAGCAACGATCGTTCACAGTGGAGTTATTTCTTCATTACGCTGCGATACATATATACATATATGCACACATATCTATCTATACATATATATATATATATATATATATATATACATCTATATATACATGCTTGGATTCTTGGATGACCCGCTTTCACTGGTTGTGCGAACCCCAGCACAATCTCCATTTTTCGGAGTTTTGCTGGTTTAATTATTGTGATTCCCTACAGTTCCGAGGTCAGTCTGGCAAAAGTCTTCCCTGGTCGTCACCACCACAAGGAGTTGCTGCCCCTGTGGATCAGAAGAAAATATGCCACCATGCGACTAGCTTGATACCAGGACGCTCCTCGATCCCGGTAGTGGTTTACTCTTAGCTAGGATTTCCTATAGAAACGCCGGACTCCTCAGCATAGGAGACCCTGCCGAGGGGATGAAACACCACGCTGTACATCGCAGGTTGACAGCCAGGAACACCTTCGTGCCACGATGAGGCGGTAAATCGTTAGAAAGACATCTACGTAGATATATATATATATATACATATACATATATATATATATACCCAGATTTCTATGCATATACCTCTTATATATCTTTCTATCTATACATATCTTTTACATATTTATTTATATGATCTTATAAACTGATCTTTTTGAGCTTTTGAGCTCTTCGTTGGCGATGGTGTTGCTGTTGTTGGTCGATGGTTGACGTTTTGGCGATTTCGTCTTCTTTACAGCTGTGCTGTTACGAGTGGAACTGATATATATGCATGTATATGTACGTATATATTCTCACAACGGTTTACCGCCTCATAGTGGCTGGGAAGTGTTCCTGGGTTTCGGGCTGCGATGTACAGCGTGGTGATTCATCCCCACGGCAGGGCCTCCAAAGGTGAGAACGGGTCCGCCGTTTCCATCAGGAAGCCTAACTAAGAGTAAACCAATACCAGGATCCACTACCGTCCTGGTGTCAAAGTAGTCGCATGGTGGCAAACTTTCTTCTGATCCAAAAGAGCGGCGACCACTTGCGGTAGTGGTGTTCTTGGGCGAAATTTGGCCACGCTGTCCTCGGTACTCCAGGAAACCACGATGGCTAAACCAACAAATCTCCGAAGAATAGAGATTACGATGGGGTCCACACAACCAGTGAAGATAGGCCAACCAAGCAACCAAGTAAGTATATATATGTACATATATATATATATATATATATATATATATAAATACGTATATGGTCACATATATGCACATGTAGGCATGTAAAAACATAAGTACACTTGTGTAAATATGTAAAAGTATATTTTCGTTAGTTTGCCGTTAGTGAGTGAATTCCTCGGGATGTCAAACGTACTGCAGGAAAACCACCGACCCGATGGTCAGAGTTCTTCACAAAGAGCCTTGAAGAAAGATATGATGCTCGACGAGTCCCTAGAGCGAGCAGAACCCACTGGACTACTCTTACGCGCGACAGGGAAAGATGGAATATTTACTAGCGCCCGCTCGAGTCACTCGGCGACCAACGGAACTACAGGTGATACCGATGATATTTTCATATACCACCATTTATAGAAGACAAAAAACAAGGTGGGAAACTGCAAATAATGAAAGCGTTACCGTATTTCTTAACATTTTGCTGCTAAAATAACTTAGTTAAAAATGCTAAAAATTTAGAATTCGTTCAGATGTTGCAAATGTGTCTCGCAACGCAACACTGAAATCAACACTACTACGGGTGTTACGGAAAAAAATAATCGATTATGACCAGCGAATTCCGAATAGAAGAAGACACACATGAGTGAGACATTGTCGAAAAAAAGATGAGTATCTAGAGATCTTTTTCTACAGCATAATGATCTCATAATAGTCGAAATTCCGTTTTTCTTGCGCCAAAAAACATTTCTCGCTGTTTGCTTCATCCAGGCTACTATGTCGAGCAGTGGTGGTATTGACCAAGTAGAATTTTATCAGATAGATCTTCCCGCAAAAAATTGCAAAATTAAAACTCCCTTGAAGAATCTTTTAAGATTTATGCTTTTTAGGGTTTGACGTGAGAAGGACAAGGTTTTCGACATCCCACAAAGAGAGCACGTGCAGCATAGTTGTTGTCAGATAGGTGTCCAATCATCTCTACGGATAAGTTCGAATATATTGATTCCATCCAACTCAGGAATTGATCAACATCGAACGTTTTATCCTCCGCGCTTTGAATTCACGGCATCAATACAAAGTTTCTTTAATAGCTTTTTTTAAACCTAAGGCTTTTGTTATCCAAGACTAAGGAACGTCGTGGATGGAACATATTGATGTAATGGTTTAATGGATTGGTGTCGTCAAAAAAAGACAAAAATTCAAAAAGGTAATAGGAAATGTAGAAGCTTCTGTTAATACCTTACCATGTCAAAAAGTGCGTCAATTTTTGCCTTTAGAACCATCTGTGCATTACTGTGAAAATCATACGACGTTGCATTGCTACAGTATACAGCAATCGGACTCGGGTTATTGCCATTTGGCACGGTAGCAGGAATACGACGAACGGACTGTGTTGGTGAGCAAGACGAATGGGACTGTAAGCTCAAGACATCGGCCGAATTCGTAAAATGGAAATAGATAACAGGGAGACCTCTCTGGATATTATTTCAATTACCTCACTCGAACAAATCGAACTCGGTAAGTGTGACTTTGAATTCCATTCATATTCATCATAATCCGCCTGCATCACTGAATCTTGAATGTTTTACTTCAAGTTATTCAACAAAAATGGCAATAAAGTCATAAGGCATCGAAAAAAGACAACTGTATAAATTCTAAGAATGAACCGGAAAGATTAACAAACTCCAGTAATAAATCACTAGCAGCTTACTTTGTTTCTGCATTCCCACCACTAAGCACTTCTTGAAACGGCAGTGGCGACATGAATAGCGATTCTCTGTTAATAAAACAACTGATAAACAAAGCAAAGTACACCTCAAATTAAAGCAATTTTTGATAACGTAAACTTGTTCAGGTTGCTAACCCAGAGGGATGAAGGTGAGTAAATTTTGATCGCAATTCCGGATGGTGTGAACAAGAACCTCGAAAGCTCCTATATCCATTCCTTTGGCCACCTAATTCAAATAGCCTACTTTTCTTAACTAGTTGTAACTGATGTTTAAAAAGGGATGAAAGATTAAAAGACTCTGCGTTATTCACTCTCTTGGAGGTATGTCGTATATTGGACTTCATTCCTAGCATCGCAGAGGTGATTGAATAAGTATATAGCTCACACAATAGACTGACAGGTGCTTAGCAAAGCGATTGGTTAGTGCCTTTATCCGTCTAGACAAGTCTAGCACCATTTTTCTAATATCGGAAAGATCTAACTCTTAGTGTGTCAGAGTCGCAGAATCCAATAAGAGACTATTTGTGATCTCTAAGCTCCTCTAAGTAGTGAGACACACATTTCGAGTTCATTGATGAGTCCAGTTCAGTTTTCCGTTAGTTTTCTCATATTCTATGAGTTGAACTACAGTTGACATTAAAACTACATGAAGCTTACAAGATTCATGAAACGGAAGGTTATACCTGCATTTCGACAATATTGAAATGGTTTCTTCTTTTTTCTTTTCGCATCTTCCTTTCAAATCTATTGCAAACGGATCTCAGTAAATTAGATTTTGATCGTTTCTATGGATTGTTTAATGTAAAATATATTATAAACACTTTCGATAAACTCAGAAAGATGCATTTTCCTTAAAATTCATGCAGAAAATTGTTTTCATATATTAGTTTTCTTCATGGATGTAGTGCTTCTTCAGAGCTAAATTAGTGAAAGATGGACTACGGCTATGCAAAGAACAGAATAAACAGCAGATTTGTCTTACTTTCAATGACTACACATGTTCCAGAAAATCGACATTTGTACTTCAGCCTTAAAGAAAGGGTACGACGGAAAAACGCCGCACATGCACGACAACAGGAAACGCCAAAATGCAAACCATTGGACGGCATTTCACATACCGCACATGGAGACGGCATGCCTGAACAACAGCCTTCTACCATTTAGTCATTTAAGAATTTTTAACAGTCACTTTTACGAAAACCAAGGTTGTTTGCAGAGTGAATAGTTTCCCAAACTTAAGTTTGCAAAACACATACCCCAGGTGAAATTCGAACCTGATATTGCACTTTAAGACGGCTAACGTGTTAGCCACTGCACCACCAAGCCTCTTGATTTCGCTCTCTCTCAAACAGCTTTTTGCTCGCTTTTTTTCTTCTAAATAGCTCCCGAAAAGGGTAATGGGAGTTTGGGTCTGGCCTGGGTTCTATATTTGGCATTTCTCAACATCATTGTGGTTGCACTCCACGTAATACCCCGCCATGAAAAAATAGTAGGCAGTAGATAAAAGAGTTAAACACAAAGAATTTATAATTCACTAGTTACGACGAAGTTAGTGAGGTGTATTGTTTTCAAACAAAACAGAAAATCGTTCGGATAAGAACCATTTCACTAATTCGAGAAGTCATGGTAATCGTGTTAAGAAAAAAACGCTTAGAGCCAAATAGCTTCTTAAAGACGTAGTAGACAGCTTATTGTCTTTTTTTTAAGCTTTCAGTGAAAGTTTTGTCATAGTCTTGATGAAACAGTGGATCTGCAAGTAGGATATAAATAACTAGAAAAAGTCAGTGGTAAAAGGCATTCAGTGGAAATCTCTAAAGTTTCAGAAGGCTTTCATGAAGGAGATCATAACTTCTTTCTGATGGGTACTAATACTAGCCACGAATCTCAATTAAGACTAACAGTTACATTTTTTTAGCGCTATTGAAGAAACTACTATGAGGTCAATGCTATCAGTACTCCCAGAAACCAAATATACCACTGTGGCAGGGATCAGGGATGAATGGAGACTTTACTCATGCTCATTAGAGTCATTCAACAATCAAAGATAGAGAAGGATAGGTAGTACAAGTCACAAGCAGTGATCAATAAGGAAGCAATGCTGTAACCAGTGTTCTAACCACTCACGCATTTGACTGATATTGATTTCGTCATTAAAAGCTAACAAGTATTGAAACTCCACTAGGATTGCAAAATGAAGAAACACGGCAAAGATAGTGATTTTGTCATTGATTTATATTTATTACTGTAATATATACTCAGTTGCCCTAAAGCATCCTGATGATTCGCAAATGATAACTAATATCCATATTAGGACTAAGAGAAAAGAGATTAGCAAGGGACAGAAGATCATATAATGTAAGGGAAAAGGTGTTTGAATGAGAGTTTGTGAAAGGAAAACGTAACTAAAAAGGCATGGAAAGGAAAACAAACTAGTAAGGAGAACGTTCATATAGGTGCATACTTTGATAGAATCAATCAAAATCGGAAACGCAGTATTCATCAAATGATCGACTAACACTCGTCTAGGCTGTTAATTAGAAAAGTTGTGTAAGGTAGTTGGGTAAGGTAACGTCTTGAAAAAGTCATATGTTTAGACGTCTTTAGGTGTAGAGATTTTCGAGAACTCGTTTTATGCATGTGTCAACATAAAATGAACGAATGGAATCGTTTCACAACTCCTTCCGAACCAATATCAATCAATACCGGCACAGTGCCTCGTCTTCGCGTACATCTAGTGATAAGATAATGTTCACCATTAATCACACTTAGTTGTAAGGCTGTTGATAGTGGTATACGACTAATCAACGAGCGCTCTTCATTTATGACAAGGCGCTAAATTGTAATATACACATATTCTTACTTTTTGAAATAGAATTTCGAGAGGTGACCTAATCCAGAAACTTCGACTCGGATCGACTACGAAGGCTTACATCGTGTGAACGAGCGATTGTGGGCAATCGAATTGGATCGTCCCAGCTGAAAAAAGGCGACATGGCTAAAACGTTATCCAAATGGAAGTTTTTAACAACCTCGAGCGAGCTGAGCTATCCAGAGGTATAAGATTGCAAATAGGGGGTGAATAGCATAGTGGTAGTGATTTCCGTCGTTACGAGCATGATGCAAGTTCTATTCCGCTCTAGGCCAACCAAGCCCCTCATGCCCCCGGGGTTGGGAAATTGGTGCCGGACTTGTCTAGGAAGAAATCATTCTCTGCAGTTCAACTGGGAACACTCCAGACCCGGCTATCCCAGGACTCCAAGAAGAATTGCTCGACCAGCATTCTACGACGTGCAAGATGAAGTGAAAATCCCAAAGCAGCAACCGAAGCCACATGTAAAATTTGGAAGATCTTCTTGGACAATGGATGCGAGGAAACGAATCGAATGTGAGAAGTGCTGGGCTCCGCACAGTAGACGTGAAGACGGGTCATGCAAAATAAAATAAAACAAAATAAAAATAAAAACGTAAGACTGCAAATTTCACTAAGTATTAGCTTACTACGTCTTCAGAGTAGCTTTCTCCGGAGGCGACAAATTTCTGTTTAAGTTTGCAAACTCATTTATTCACCAATATGTACATTTCTGTTATTTATACGTCCAGTTTCGACGCTGCACAGGAAATGAGGAAGTCAGTGTGAGGTAAACGTAACGAAATCGAAAAAAAGCGGAAAGTACAAAATCGTGAGCACAGCCATTGCGATGCTCAATATTCGACAGCTACTTCCAGCTGGAAACGAAATTAGTGAAACGGCCAACGAAATTCTAAAATATGTGAATGAGAAGGAAGAAAGATGTGCTGACAGAATGATCAATTAGGTGCACATATTGAACAAGTAACAGCCTTTAAAACCTTTTTACAATATCACCGTAAATCATAGAAAAGGCTTCACTGGAACGAGTGGTGAGTATTTTTTGATTGTTTCAGGTTGTGCTCCTAGAAGTGCAAAACTGTAAGCTTAGTCGCGATTTCAAAAGACTAACCAAAGGTAAGCATTCGTCAGGAATTCGTCCTATTACGAAATTGAGAAAACGGTATCATCAACAAAAACGTGATTGAAGTATAGTATAATGATAATTGATTAGACACAGCACTATACATGAATAGGATCTAACATGTTGATGAATAATATAAGTCTCTAATGGCTCATAACCATTCCAGTGGTTTGAAGAAATGGTTATATCTTTCCGAGGAAGGGTGAGGCCACTCTAAAATATTCGCTTGCCTACAATACCATAAATAGACGGAATTTTTTTCTTTTTGAAATTCCATGAAAACCGTCTCATATCGTCACTATAGGCAGTTTTTGCGTACCATGTGTATTGAGGGGAGCTGTGTTAACCAACTACTAGATTTCTTCCATAACAGCGGAGTAGTGGGCATTGGTTATTCATAACTGGGTATCAGACCAAAGTGCTCCCTAGTAGTGTCAGAGTGACCATGCTGGAAGTGGATACCAAGAAGTGTATCGAAGTCTTAAACTGAAGTAAAAATTCACCTCGCCAAAACGTGATGGTATAAAATAATAAATGGAAGTGAAAAAGAGTAAAATTCTAGGCATACGGGTGGCCATTTTGTTGGAAGAAATGTAGCTATAATCTAAAGAATATTGAATACATAAAAATTTTACATTAATAAAGCCTTTGAACTACCAAAACTGAGACCAATAATCAACGAGAAATGCAGATATTTAGGATACCCAGAGTCCTCCTGCGTAATACCTCAACAATGCCTGGAATTTTAAAAGTACAGGAGATGACTCAATGAAGGAGAAACTTTGTCTAGCAATTGCAATCAGTGATGGCCGATGCCAAGAAGGATTACCGCAATTTTGAGAAAGAAGTTCCTGGATTTCATGCAAATTTCACTGATGTCCATTTTAGGTGAAGGTTTTTTGCTTACTTTAAGCACATTTTATATCTATCTAAATCTAGGAGTAGCTGTTGTCGTTTCGTTAAAAATTGAAGCTAAGGTTTCTTCACTCCGTTCTCTTTAGTTTTGTAAAACCTGCACGGTCATGGTGTGTTCTAGACATGACGCTGCAGTGAAAACTTAGAATTTAAGAGAAGAAAATGACCTCATTGCTGTAAAATTTGTGACCTTCAGTCTTAGATTAGTGTTCCGAATTCAATTTACTGTACTTAGTTGTGACATAATTGAACTTTCTTATCATAAAACTCATTTTTTTTCCGTACGTAGGGCGTGTGTAGTGCATTAGTTAGAGGTGGACTTCGGTACACTCTGGGCTGCAAATTCAATCTTTTGCTTCAGGCAAAACCAAGATTAACAGGTTGGTAAAACAGGTAAGACTTATATGGGTGGATAAAAACACTGACTTGACACATCGGTAAGATACTGAAATTGGTATAGCAGTAAGGGTATAGCGGTTATATAGGCAGGTAATGCATTCAATCACCACCACGACGCTGGGAATGGAGTCCAATGCTTGGAGCATCTCCAAGATATTGATAAACGTGGAGCGCATATCCTTCCATTCATACTTATTATTTCAGTTGAACTACACGTTCGTATAACGAAATCACGTAGTTCGATGGTTGACGAAGAGTGTAAGCACATTCGTGAGAGAAATCGGAAACTAAGTACGGACTTTGCGGCGCAACGGCAAGTCTACACTGCTGTGTTATCATAACGTTTACAAATATAATAATGCTTTTAACATTTTATATGTTTACTATGTTGTTTAAAACTGCTTAAGAAAGAGGCGATCTAACTTACGAACTACGTTCATCAAACTCAAGGTTTCATTGATGATCACAAGATCATGGCCGGTAGCAACAATGTTGTAAGCGCATAAACTGCTTCGTTGTCTCTTTTCAGTGTCATTCTTACAAAGGGTGCGGTTAGCACAGTTGTATTGACGCCGATCACCATGAACACGATGCTTGTTCGACCTATTCCAGGCCTGCCAAGCTTATCATTAATTCGGGGCTACGAAATTGGCACTAGACTTCCCGAGGACATGTTGATTCCTTGCAGTCCACGTGAGAGCGACCCGGAGCGTATTCCCAGGACTCCAGGGGTAATCGACCCGACCAATATTTAACGACATTCATGATAGAAGGGAAATCTTCAAACAGCATCCAAAGGTACACGCAAATGTTGGAAGACATTCGTGGATGATGGAGGCGACGAAACGAATCCCGTGTAGGAAGTACTGAGTTCTTCGCAGTAGATGTGGAAGACAAGTGGTGTAAAAAATTGTTGTAAATCTCAAAAATATTTTACATTATTAGAAACTGGACAAACGCAAATATATTAAATATTAGAAAGCGTCCAAAGAAAATTGCCCCATATTCAGAGGAGGTTTATCGGAAGCCATCGCAGAAAGGCGTAAAATGTTCGATGAGATCGAAAGAGTTGTGTATTTTTTTCCTCAGGTGGATTTTCTCAATTTGAATTGATATGTGATTCAGAGCACCTTGAAATCCCTTAACGAAAGGTAATCCTGTTGGTTTTAGTTAACGTGTTTGTATTTTTACAGTAAAAATCTGTTTTTCTCTCATCACAGGTTAACGTTAAAACATTTGGGTTCTCAATTCACTGCGAAGCGAACGATGGAGAATCTGGAAGCGCGCGTGAGTTGATTAGCAGGTCATATCTCATTGAAGCCATAACGAAATATTCTAGAAACTCGACTACGAGACTCATAAATATAGCCAACTTTTAGAAGAAGAAGAAGAAGAAAATAGAACACACAGTGGAATGATCTCCACCGCTATTCACTCATTCAACATATCGCCAATTTCCAGTAATCGCTTTTTTCCTATTTGTTAATAGAATTCCAATAAGCGTTTAATTTTAGGGCATGACTTTTATGTTTCTAAGCGGCGAGAGGAAGAATCGAAACAAGACAATGACTATAGGTTTACAAGTACTGCTACCGTCATGAGTAGTGCAGCGGGTGCAAGTCGCATCAAAGGGCAGAAATCAAAACAGACAGTTTCTCTCTAACAGTAAGTATATTTGAATGGTAGAGTTTGAGATTTTTGGGAAATGTCCAATATTCATAGGAGAGTAATGCGAATTAAAAACGCGGAAAGCGCAGTAGCCGAAGAGGCCGCGCAACACAAGCGTGGTTATCGGTTCGACTTCGCCTCGGGCTAAGTAAGCTTCCTGCCCTTCCAAGCTCGAGAAATTGATGCTATACTTACTTGAGATTGCTCACTACAATCACAAAATCCGGTGATTACTTTTGGCGAAGACCTTAGAAACGCTCCAGTGGGGATATAACTGGATTGCAAAGAGATTCAGTGCAACGAAATTTATAAAGGATACCAAATAGACAAATATCAAAAATTTCCCTCGCGAACGTGAATGTTTTTGTTCATAATAGGTGTAAGTCCTCTCTGCCGGGATGGAAGAAATGTTTTGACCTGCACCAAACGTGAAGATCGTTCACGTAGGGGAATAAGTATATAATATGGATGAACGTGTAAACTGTTCCTTATTGAAAACCTTCTGAAATCAAATATCATACTCCAGAATATGCTTTTCGATGGTTCATTCATCACCGTTGAGGCCACATCAATATATCATGACGAGAAAATCAGGGAATGAAAACTACGTACTACGAGCGCTGGTCATTTATACGTCTTAGAGATTTCATACTAACACCCAAATCAAACGTGAAGGTACATGATAAGCCTTATTGCTGGTTCTCAGTGCGTCCACATTACTAACGTTAAAGGGGAAAACTCGTGGGAAAGTTTTCCATGCACCACAACACTAACTGGTCGTCAAAGCCAAGGAATCTTTTGCAACTAGTGGTAACGCTCATGTTAACCTCTATAACCTAGAAAGTCAGCTCAGAGTATTGAGTGAACTAAAGTGTTTTCCAAACGTTAATTCTTTCATTCTTTTCCAGGGACGTGCATCCTTTGTTCAACGCTCTGCAGGATTCTAATCGATGCTTATCTTTCAGTGTGGCTCTCTGCTATAAATACCCATTCACTGCACGAAAATTCTAACACTTCTTGGCAGTTTAAAGATCCTATAAACCAAGAAATTTCATGTTAAATTAAACTCACCATTTCAATATTAGTGTTCGTCAGTCTTTTGTACCACCACGATCTCAATTTGAGAGAACTTTTGATGGAAATCGTCTTACCGACTACGTGTAGTCATTACACGCTCGCTGTTTCACATTAAATTCATTAACATTCTGCATTAGTATTGCTGCCCTCATTAGCGTTCAATCACAAGATCGCAGTTTAAATATTATCTAATAAAGCGTTAACCTCGGTGTCGAAAAACAGCGAGTTGCATATAAATAGCATTTGTGAAATATTTACTTTTATCGTTTGAAATTTATATGACGACAAGTCGACTCAGAACTAACAAAATAATTGGTACTGACTAGGCATTTGAGGAAGACATTTAACTTCATCGTATATTTTTGTCCCACTTTCGCTAGGATATCATTGTAAAGAACTGACAGCAAGCTTTAAAATTTTTGCAGAAAAGAAGGAAAAGGAAGCCTAACTTAGAGGAGACCGTGAGTGGAATCTGACGCTGTGGTGGTTTGGAAGCTTATTAACAGCTTTCCACGAGACTCTACAATATAAAACGCAAAATAACCTTCTCACGACATCCAAGAAGACTGGTAGCCACATGTAGACAAAAAATTGAGTGCATAGTTTACGAATTTTACTACAATCTTTTTGGTAGCCTTCTTAGTTCCTACAAACCATTTCAAGGATGACAGAAATTTTATCTTAATGGCTTTCCGGTGTACGCTTTAGAAACTCTGGACCACTCAAGTCCCGTTCTTTGAAAAACATACCGTTGGTCATCGGTTACGACTTTTTTTTTAGGCAATGCAATTTCTTGTTGCTGAGATTCAATGCGTTTTGAGCAATTAAATACTACGGGAACGTTCTGCTTTATAAGAAGGAATAAATACGCATTGTCGGGTTTTCAAATTCCATTCTCATAAAGTGTAAGGAAACCGTGCAAGCACCAGTCATGCAAGTGAACTTGATTCGGAATAAATTTGGAACAGTGATCACATCACTGCCGCTGGAGCACCGCTATGTTCTACTTTCATTGAATTCGCCAAAGCTTGCTGTAAAGCTGAACTAAAGGTGATTATAGAAACTATAAACAAACACAACGATTTTACTTAACACGTGAAGATTTTTCACTGCTTACAGGTTATCTTTGCGAACAACTTTTGCTGCATGCGACAACAAAGCTCTGTACACTTGTGAGCGAAGCTTTCAAGACCCATAATTGCGCCATGAAACTTCGCACCAACCTGAAAAAAAACGCAGAAATTTGGCTCGAAAAAGAGACTCGAGAGCCGATAAAGTTAGAAAAACCAAATTTTCTATTTTGACTTATTATTTACGTAAATAAGAAGTTAAAATCGTGATTATAACTGCAGCCTCAGTTTAACTGGGTTCGTTGCCGATTTGGGCTACCCAGATTAATCTCGCTGACGGGTGATTGCTGATGGCAAAAGATCGACAAAACTAGCTGAGAGACAGGCGAAACGAGGGACCCGCATGGTGTGGTGGTGAGCGCGTTCGTTCCCCAACCCAGACACCTGCAGCCCGGAGTTTTGCAAATATCTCGGCATGATTAAAACTAAATTTTTTGTTTGTGATAAAGATGGAGTGTTTGTAGCAAGTCCTCGACAATTATATGTTGAGATAACGAAAAAGCATCTTGGAGACGTTTTCCTTTATCGCGCTCCATCAGAAAAGAAACTAAAAATGTCAGTGATCGAAAATTGAACAACAAATGGGTCAAAGTAGCAAAAAAGACAAGCTGAAACGATCGGTTGTTTTTCAACTAAAAGGGATCTCCCAGCTCATCTCGTCTTATGCTTATTAAAACTCATAGGTAAGTATTTTTTGATGATCTTGTGTCTACCGAGCTATCATCGTTGAAGGTTGCATCTAACACTAGCTGAATAGACAAGCTCACAGATAGAACAGCTTGGTTTAAGAAGGTAATGCTCTTCCAGTTACTTGAACACGTCCGACCGATTTCACGAATACCTAAATGTTTTTGGAAAGCATAGGTAAAGCGCGTCCTATCAGCGCGCATGTGACAAAGTCCTTCGACGTTATCGCCTTTTACACTAACTTGTTGAATGAGTTAGCAATGCAAGCCTTCCCCTGCTACAAAAAAAAACAAGCATAAACACCGAGAGCCTAGCTTTTTTAAAATAGAGCCGGAGAAAAAAAACATTTTCTGACAACTAACACATGTTTCATCCCCAGCTTTTAAAACCCTGCTGGGGGATAAGCCGTCCACTGCACATCGCAGCCCGACAACCAGGAACACCTGCTAGTCAAGATAAGGCAGTGAAAATTTGGTAGGCATTCTGAGTTACCTTTTAGAATCTACAAAATTATATTCAGTTAAGATTTAAAAATTCTTCAGCCTTGATCAATCTTTGAACGATGTGTCATTCATTCGACATCATGAAGCATTTTAAAAGTAAGTGAATCCAAATGTTTCCTATAAAATGGATTCAGAAGGCCAATCCTGAAATCACTGTTTTTGTTTTTTCAAACAAACTTGGTTTACACTTTCTTTACGGTTAAGTGGGTAGCATATCCTTATCAGTATTGTCTTGCTCAACAAGTAGCACTAGTAGCACTTCCAGAGCTATCTGGAGCAACTCGGAGGGCGTTGCTTAATTTGTTTCCAGACAAACAACACCGAGGTGCTTCGTTCTCATCTTTTTTTATGTTGTGATTTCTGCCATACAATTTTCACATATTTATTTATGCGATCTTATAAACAGTTTTTTTTGAACCGATGCGAGGTTGGTGTAGGTATTCGTAGCCGTTGTTGTTGTTGTTGTTGTTGTTGTTGTTGCTGTTAGTGTTGCGGTTGATGGCTGATATTTTGGCGATTTCACCTTCATTAGAGTCTAGACGTATTTAGTGTAACAGTACTCTTATATACGATGAAATACTTATAGCATTAGTGAGAACGGAACTTTCAAATAAACACCATATTCAAAAAGGTTACTCACCGTGCTGTTACGAGTGGGACTGTTCGCGTGTTACCCACTTGGGACAGAGAGCGATACACAACCCGGGGTAAAAATATCGTCTTGAAATAAGGCGTCAGATCACGTGTGCTAGTGAGCCAATCGTCTTCCGTTTTCATCTTTGGGTTTTTGAAATTTATCCAAAACCCCTCGAGAGTTTTGCGAGTTAATGTTTTTAATTCTTGAGCTAGAATCTGGACAGTCACTTCAAAATCATCGCCATTGTGCTTTTGTGCCCTATGTGTACCTAGAGGAGTGCTATGATGAATTTTACCGTTCCCATCCAGGTGTTCCTTTATGCGGACATAGAGCGGTCTACTCGTTTCCCCAATATATTCCTCACCGCATGCGTTACATGATATCAAGTATATTGTACTTGAACTCATGTAATCCCCGTCTCTCCCGTTAGGACAGATCATACAATTTTCTGAGCTGCGCAAACGATCATAGAGACGGTTGCGAACTAACTGGCAGCGTAGGGTATTGGGTGGGATGTCAGTAATCGTTACATAATTTTCAAGACCACTTTTTCTTAAGTACCTCTTAATGGCGTGATTTACTTCATTTGATATGAAGGGAATCTTAAAGGGAATCTTACTTGCCGTTAATTCGGCTGCTCACGTTTATGAAACAGCACAGCCATTTTTTTCTAAAGTGGTAGAAAAATAAGTTTTGTAAAGTGTTGTTGGGGTGGACCTAATCGTTCCTTAAAAAAATGAAGTAGAAACTCACTAGTCAACCCATTTCTAAACCAATCCTGAGCAGGATCAGGTGTAGTCTGCATGAATTTCAACATCAGCTACATTATAGGGTTAGGCTAGAAAGGTTAGGTAAAGTAGTACCAAGGGTGGAACTACCACCAATGCCTTTATCCTGAACTTCCTTCAAACAAGAGCTACCAAATAACGACACTGACCCTACATTTCGTTTATTTCCGTAC